CGAGAGACCCCAGAAGGGCCCCGAGCAGCCGCAGAGCCCCGGGGACCTCTGGGGAGAGCTCGCAGGGCCCGGGGCCTCCCCGAGAGACGCCGAGGGAGCGCAGAGAGCCTTGGGGACCCCGCTGCATCCCCAGGGCAGCCCCGGGAGACCCCTGCGCATCCCCCAAGGCACCTGGAGAGACCCCTGGGGCCCATAGAGGGAGGAGTCGGCTGCATTCCCTGAACTCTGCAGAGACTCCCAGTGACTCTGCAGGATCTCATGGGACACCCAGAGAGACCCCCAGGGGAGCCCTGGGGCACCCCAGAGAGACCCTGCTCCATCTCCTAGGACATCCCGAAGAGAGCTCACTAATTCCCTGGAAACAACCCAGAGACACCCTGGATAAGCCTAGTAACATCCCAAAGAGACCCTTCTGCATCTCCTGGGCCGCCTGGGAGAGTCCCCACATGGGCCCCAGAGACCTCCTGGGCTGTCTCCACATGGCCCCTTGCATCCCTATGGAGACCCCATACAGATCCCTAAATGTCCCCCTAGGCTCCTGCCTTCCCTGAGTGCTCTGCAGTGACCTTGAAGGGATCTCACATCCCAAGATGTCCTAGATTGACCCCAAAGGAGCCTCAGACTTGGGTCCACCAGAGCAACCCCAAGGAGCCTCCAAGCCCCCCAGAACAATGACCACCCGAGTCTCTGAGCTGCCTTTGTCAGCAGGGGATCCCTGCCCTCCTGGGATATCCAAAGTGACCCCGAAGCAGGAGACAGCACCACGACCTGCACTGGTACCATGGGTGACACCAAGCCCCGCCTCAGCAACACCAGGCTGATGGCCGTAGGGGTCTGGTGGCCCTGTCCCCATCCCTCCTCCAGCATGGGGGCTGCAGGGGACACCCCGCAGGTGAGCAGGGCTGGGCGCTGCAATGAGCAGGGCTGGCAGGGCCAGCAGCCACATTGTCCTCTGCAGCAGCTAGCTCTGAATGGGGTCTGCAGTGGTGCCATCACTGGCTTCAATGGGGACACACGGTGGCAGCGCCACTCTGGGCTTGCTAAGGCATTGAGGACAACTGGGGACTGGGATGGGGTGGAAGACTGGGCATCTGGCAAGGCAAGAGGTGGTGCAACCGAAAGGGACCAAGCCTGGGTGCATCCTCCGCTCAGCACAGTCGGGAAGGTCCTTGTGGCTCTCACGCCCCCGGGACGCTGCAGCTCCCGCGATTCCTGGGAGATCCCCAGGACCGGGCACCGCGTGGCAGCGTGTCGGCTCTGGCTGCTGGGAGCTGCTCTGGCAGCAGCCGCCGGCACCGGAAAGTCGCAGTGCTGCCGACAGCTGCTGACGCTGCAGGGCTGCTGTCCCTCAGGAGCATCCTTGGGACACGGGAATGCATGGGGACATGCAGGGATGTGGGCCGGAGCAGAGAGGTTGAGCAAGGAGAAGGTGCTGCCGCTGGCAGGGATGGAACCACTTTGCTCCCAGGATGCAGGAAGAAATGGAAATGTCAGCTGGGAGAGGAGAGAGGCTGAGCTGGGGTGTGCGCCAGGAAAGTGCTGCTCTTGCTCTGGGTACCAAGGGCAGGCAGCGCCTCCCCCAGCACCCAAGGGTGCACCCAGGAAGCCAGACCTGCCAGCGGTATCCTTGGCAGGAGGATTTGCATCCGTGCCATTTCAGTCTTGAGCCACAGCTGCTACTGGAAAACAGCAAAGAAAAGCTGCTAAGATGTGGAGCAGGAGAGCCCGGAGTGGGGATGGGATTCCCCAGGGAGCCAGCCCCATGCGGCGCGCACATCCCGTGTGTCTCACACTGAGCTCTTGCTCACGTTCCGGGCGGAATCCCCTTCTCCCATGCACAACCTGCTACCTCCCACTCTGGCCTTGACTTACCTTCCTCATCCATCCATCCATCCATCCATCCATCCATCCATCCATCCATCCATCCATCCATCCATCCACCCACCCACCCACGTGTCCATTCAGACCAGCATCCATCTACCCAGCTGTGCACTCATCCATGTGCCCACCCAGCCCAATATCCACCCAGCTGTGCCCCCATCCAGCTGTGCCCCCATCCTTGCACACTCTCCCCCAGCCTCATGCCCTGGTGTCACCAGTGTCACCACCTCTTTGCCCACCACCCCCTGCACTCTCCCGCTGCAGCTGTGAGGGACAGCTGTGACAAGGAGCCCCCTGGCCACCCAGGCCCGGGGGGCTCCGCGGGGCTGAGCGCAGGGCCTGGCCTTGCTGAGCAGAGCGGGGAGCCGGGGCCAGGGCCGCCCCGCAGCCCGCCCGCCGCTCTGCCCCTTCCCGGCAGCGCAGGAGGCTCCGGGGACGGCGGTTTCCCCGCGCGGCCCCGGCCCCGTCCCGGGGGAGCGGCGCCGCCCAGCCCAGCTCCGCGCCCGGCTAATGGGCCCTTAATGGATGGCGGCGGGGGGAGCCCCGAGCCCGGCCCCGCGCTGCCCACGGGGCGCGCGAGCCCCGCGGCTCCGTGTGGAGGGGGGTGATGGGCAACCCGGGCACAGCTCCCGGCCGAGGGGCACCGGGATCGGGAGCCGGGGGGTCCCAGGGGTCCCAGCCCCCCACCGGGCCGGGCTGCTCCCGCCTCCAGCTAATGGCTCGGCCGCCTCCCGCCTAAGTGCCGGGTGGGGCGAGCCGGAACCGGAGCGAGTCCATTTACGGCCTCCGCGGGGCCGCCCTCCCCAGGGACCCCCCTCCTCCCCTTCCCCGCAGACACCGGGCAGCCAAGAGCCTTCCAGAAGCCTGGAGCCATCCCAGCGGGATGCGGCGCAGCGGCGGCAGCCCCGGCCCTCCGCTCCGTGCCTCAAATCCCACCGGAGGAGGGCATTCCCTCCCGCAGGGGGGGCAGCGGGGGGATCCGGAGCCCGGGCCGGGGCAGGAGGGGAGCGCGGGGGCTCGGTGCCCGCGGTCCAGCCCAGGCTCGGAGCGCGGACACGGCCGCTGGGGACAGCCCCTCCTGGGGCACTGGGACACCCGGCACGTGCCACCCGTGCCACCTAGCGGGAGAAGGCCAGACGACACGTCGGGGCACCGGGAGCGCGGGCCAGGCCGGGGAGCAGCCCCGGCGCGGGGCCCGCGGGGAGGCCGCGCGCCCACCCCACGGCGCAGCCCCCGCTTGCTTCCACACTTCAGTTCCTGCTTTATTGCCAAAAGAGTCCGTGGGGTGCGCGCCAGGCCCGCGAGCACCGCGTGGGGCCCGGCCCCGCTCGCCCTGAGGGCCCTGCAGGGCCCAGGCCGGGTGCTAGGAGGGGCTGTGGGCGCTGTGGGGGTCCCCGCTGTCCCCAGTGCCCAGCCCAGCGCTGGGTGCAGGGGTGGTGCTGGTGGGTACTGGGTGCTGTGTGTCCCAACTGGAGGTACCGGCCTCGCAAGGCTCCAGGCTGGTGCCTGCTCCTCCTCGGTGCCCAGCAAGGTGCCCAGGTGCCCGGGTGCCCTCCTCGGGGTCCAGGTGAGCAGCCGGGGGGGCCAGGTGAAGCCCTTGGAGCTGCGCTGGCTCGGGGGGGCTCTGCTCCGCCTGCCCGGCCGCTCCTTCCTCTTCCGGCACCTGGTCCGCGTGGTCCGGCCCCGGCGCGGCCCCGGCACCTGGCTCTGCCTCTGCCACCGCCGGCTGCACCCGCTGGTGACACAGCGGGCAGGTGTCCTGCACGTAGAGCCACTTGCAGAGGCAGGCACCGTGGAAGAAGTGGTGGCAGGGGGTGACGACGGCCACCTGCATGTCCTGCGGACGGAGAGCGGACGCTGGAGCACGAGTCCTGCGCCCCAGCTGCGGGAAAGCAGACTGGACACGGGGACTGGACCCAAGCGTACCCCACGGGCACACAGAGCTCCTGCCTCGTCCTCAGAGGGGCCCAGCAGGGTCCTGGCATGCCGGGAGCCCTCGTGGTGGCCCTGGCGGGGCCAGCTCACCTGGAAACAGATGGCACACACGTCGTTGTGGTCCCGCAGCTGCCCACGCGTGGCCCTGGGCAGCGAGTTGATCTTCTTGGCGGCCTCCCGGCGGAGCAGGAAGCTCTTCCAGCCCGACTGGGCGCGCAGCCAGACGTTGAAGTAGGAGTGGATGATGATGACGGAGGCGCCCATCCAGCTCCACTCGCCGAAGAGCGACTCCCAGGTGCCGTAGCCCACCACGCACACGGCCACCAGGAACTCCAGCACGCGGCTCACCGCGTTCACGTAGTAGATGATCTCGTCCATGCGCTCCAGCGGCGTGTCCTGGAACAGCTCCACCATGAAGAGCGCGTAGATGAAGAGCGTGCCCATCACCTGGCAGGCAGCAGGGACGCGGTTGGTGCCAGCGGGCAGACAGCACCAGGACCCAGTTCCCTGTCCCATGGCATGGCCCTGGGCGGGCTGCACACACTGCAAGGACATGATGGAGCTTGGAGCTCCTGGGGACCATGGTAGGGGACATAATCCATCACGAAAGGGACAAGGGACCAGCTGGCACTGCAGAACAGGATGGGAGGCAGCTAAACCATTCTGGGAGGCCAAGCAGGATGCCTCCCGGACAGTGCCCTTCCCCAGTGCTGGGGCTCCCGGTACCTGCAGAGAGGTGAGCATACAGCTGGAGACCAGGATCAGCAGCCAGAAATCCAGGTGGAAGAAGTGCGCGATCTTGTAGGCCATGAAGCAAGGGAAAACCAGCAAGAAGAGGCACATGCTGACACCGCGGAAATGCTTCCAAGGGCTCCTAGGGAAGGTGCAGGTCAGCGAGGCGCTGCCGAGAGGGGCAGCCCGTGCCTGGACCTGCCCCCCAGCACTGCCCACGGGCGGCAGAGAGGGTCCGGGAGCAGCTGCAGGGCAGGCAGCACCGATCCTGGCAAGCAGGACCCGTGAAGCAGGGCTGCAGATGAGGGCAATGAGGGCAGCGCAGGGGCCTGGCCAGCTCGGACACGTCTGGTTCTGGGGACACCACGGTGCCAGGACAGCTCTCGGCAGGCAGAGGGAATGGGGCAGCGCTCCCAAGCCCGAAGGGACCCGGACACAGGGATACCCTGGCCGTACCCAGGCGGGTTCTTGGAAGAAGGAAGGATAACCGGGAGCCTGGAGAGAAGCCATGGCCAGGCTGCTGCTCCTCATCCCCGCTGCGCCCGCAGAGCACCCGCCCTGCGCACGGCCGGGACCTGCTGCTCCTCCCCGGGCACGAGAGGAGGCCGGTACCTGTTGCGGGAGGCCCCCAGCGCCAGCACGATCGGGTCAGCGATCTCGATCATGGACTGCAGCGTGGAGGTCACCACGATGAAGAGGATGATGCTGAGCAGGAAGGTCCGCTGCAGGACCTGCAGGTCGAGCAGCCCCGTCTGCAGCGCCAGCAGCAGCAGCGTCACACCCTCCGTCACCCCCCTGCAGAGGCGGCACGTGAGCACAGGCGACCACGCAACCGGTGTGGGGCATGTGGTGGGCCAGGACAGCGCTGCCGCCCTCTGCGTGGCCCATGGCCCCTTCCCGGCTCGGGGCTGCTCTCTGCTCGGCCGCACAACCCGCACGTGGGAAGGAGCAGCCCCGTTGTGGGACACGCACCTTGGCCGCAGGTGGCCCCACTCCGGCCCTGTCCCAGCACCCGGGTCACACCTCATCCCTATGGGACATATCCCAACCCTGGCTCCGCTGCTCAGCGGGCTCCCTGGCCACGCTCTGCCGTGCAAACCACCAGGAAGGAGGGCGGTATCCGGCTGCCCGGCACCGCAGGGCTGTGCCAAGCACGGGCAGCTCTCGGTGAGCAGGACAGGGCGGGAATGCTCTCCCGCCGCAGGGGCTCGCTGCGGCCCGCAGCAGCACGGGAGCCCGGCACAGCGCGGCCCGCGCGGCACTCACCTGTGCATGACGTTGCCGTTCTGGAAGGCACCGTAGCCCAGCAGGTAGAACTTGCAGAGGTTGAGCACGCCCAGGGCCACGTAGGAGACGGTGAAGGTGAGGCCGACGAGCGAGTAGGGCGTGCTGCAGCACTCGGCCACGCTGCGGCGGAGCCCGCGTGAGCAGCGGCACCGTGACGCCGCGGGCAGCCGCGGCACAAAGCCGGCTCCGCGCAGCCCCGCGCTCCCTCCGGCTCCGCGGCGGCTCCTACCTGCTGAGCAGGACGAAGAGCAGGCCCTGCTGCGCCACGGGGCTGCTGGAGGAGGCCAGGTAGGAGACGAGGCGCAGCGAGAAGAGCACCAGCCAGAAGACGAGGAAGAGGAGCGGCACGGCCAGCTGGCTCCAGAGCGACGCCCCCAGCACCAGCAGCCTGTAGACCTCCAGCGCCTACGGGGAGGGCGCCCATCAGCGCAGAGCAGCCCCCGTTCCCTTATCCCTCCGGCTACGGGCACCAGGGCATCAGGCAAAGTGCCCTTGGAGCAGGAAGCTCCTCGAGCCCCGGAGGAGCCTCCTCCCACCCAGCCGCACCAGGACCAGATCCCAGCCTCGGCCCAGCCTCCCCTTGCACAAGGACAAGGACAGAAGGGGCTACAGAGGGTCCCGAGCCTGCCTGCGACAGGGGACAATGTGGGGACAATTCTGCATTGAGCTTTCCATACACGCAACGAGCACCCTCACCTGGCCCATGGAGTCCTATCACAACAGCCATCCCACCCCATCCCATGCCACCCTATCCCACACCATGCCACCTTATCTCACACCATGCCACCCCATCCCACGCCACCCCATCCCACGCCACGCCACCCCGTCCCACCGCCGAGCCGGGGGCTGCTCTGCCCCAGGAAGGCGCAGTGGCCTCTGCAAGCCCGAGCGCATCGCGCAGCCCCGCACACCTGCACCAGCTCCCTGCAGGCCACGGCAGCCAGCTGGAAGGGCACGAGGACGTGGGCGGCGAGCACGTAGAGCACCTCGAGCGCGGTGAGCGCGCTGGCGAAGGCGTTCACGGCGGGCAGCGCGTGCAGGGGCAGGCCGCAGAGCCGGGCCAGCAAGGGCAGCAGCGGCGCCGCAAACAGCCACGCTTGCCGGGTCCTCATGAGCAGCGAGCAGAGGGCGCACACAAAGAGCTGCCCTGCGAGGGACACGGCAACGGCCCCGCGCTCAGCCAGCCCCGGAGCCCTGCCCGCTGTCCCCCATCGCATGGGGACGGACGTGGCCATGGGCTGGCCACAGGGACCCTGCCCGCTCACCTGCGAGCGCGGTGACGAAGCGGCCGAGCGCCACGGGGTCCTCGTACACGGCGCCCTGGAACTCGTACTCCAGCTCGCGGCGGGTGTAGTCCCTGCGCAGGGCGACGGTGACCAGGCTGGGTCACCCCCAGGAGGGCTGCACGGCACCGGGACCGGGCTGGGGACCCCCAGTCGGCCGCGGGGTACGGGGCGGCCCCTCCCCGGGCTCACCTGGCCGTCTGGTGCCCCACGGAGAGCAGCAGCACCGTGAGCAGGTAGAGGTAGAGCTTCACCAGGGAGCGCACGGGCAGCGTCAGCAGCACCACGCACAGCACGTGGCCTGGCAGCGGGGGAGACAACCGTGAGGGGGGCGCCCCGGCGGGACCCCCGGCAGAGCCCCGTGTCCCCCTGCCCCGTGCAGCCCCGCAGAGCCCCGTGTCTGCCCGCAGAGCCCCGTGCAGCCCCGCAGGGCCCCGTGCAGCCCCGCAGAGCCCCGTGTCCGCCTGCAGAGCCCCGTGCAGCCCCGCAGGGCCCCGTGTCCGCCTGCAGAGCCCCGTGCAGCCCCGCAGGGCCCCATGTCACTGGGATGCCGCAGGGGACAGCCGAGGGGACAGCAAGGGAGACGCTGCCGCAGGTCCCGGCCGCAATTTCACCCGCAAAAGCGGCTTTCAGCCACTAATTTCACCCGCAAAAGCAGCACTTAGCTGCTAATCGCACCCACAAAAGCGACATTCAGCCGTTAGCTTCCCCCGGCATTTAGCAGCCCGCCAAAAGCAGCATTTAGCCCCAAAGCGGCGCTCGGCAGCGCAGGGCAGCGGAGCAGCGGCCGCCGCTGCTGGCGGGCTCGGCTGGCGCGCGGGGCCCGGGGTACCCCGCGAGGGCCCGGGGTAGCCCGCGAGGGCCCGTAACGGCGGCGCTGGCCGTGGCGGTGGCCGTGTCGGCGCTCACCCG